TCGACCTTTAATTTCGTGTAATATATTTTCGATGTCATAATTCGAAAATTATAAGGTGGCCGATCAAGTGACTGCACCGAGATCACTAAATATTACTTTAATTTTTTATACAGGATATTCTAAACGTGACAGCGCATGCATTGTGTAACACTGAAAGATTTTACTTAATAAGAGATAATTATAGTGGTGCACTATTACGATCACTAGCTAATCACATCGGGATTAAGATTTGAGAACACCCTAAATATCAAAAGATGGTATATTGTTTTACATTTATCTCAAGGTATCGATTATTATTTTAAAAGCTTCGATAATTAAAAATAAAGTGGCTACTTTTTCATATTGGTTAGAAATTTGTTGAGAATTCATTGTTTTTTATGTTTGATATGTCATTGTTTATTATGTTTGATATGTAAAAAACTAAAAGTAATGCTTAAGCGACTTTCATCAATAGTAATTTTTGAAGAAAAAGATGGTTTGTAGCTCGCTGATATAATGATCGCAATGGCAGCTCACTTGGTTAATTTATTCAATTCCTGACTATTAAAAATTTGCCTCTGATCCATTAAGTGAGGTGCTTGAGAACACCCCAAATCGTTCGATTAACTCATTGAGGGAGGCGCTTGAACACCACTTATATAAATATAATTTTCATATTTAGAATTAATCTATTTTTACTGAACATCAGTTTTTAGCCGATATGCAGTGATACTTCGCACCAGATTGTAGTGCAGAAATATTTCCTGTACGTATGTACGTACTGTACACACATAAAAAACCGCACTGACGTTCCATGGCTTACTTTGGGTCAATGAAGTTTAAGGGGGCTGCGAATTTTTTAAACGAACTAGTTCTTGAGACTCTACATTGTAATCTGCCTGAAGTAGACTAACGCCTTCTGTGTATCTTGCGTATAATAACCTCACCCATACTAACCATTTACGAACGAACATATATATTTCCTAAGTTATACAAGCATATACTATTCGTAAATTTTGATGTTGTAGCTCTTCGAACCCAAATAAGGATTGGTGAGGGTGTTATCTAAAAACACAAAATCTGCGAAAAACAGAGAGAAAATAACATTACATTCCCTTTTTAACGCACTGTTGTATGTATGTGTGGATACCATTGCATTGCAGATGCCGAAACTTAATTATAAAAACTGAGAGCAAAAATTTGGCAAGGTTTACATTTTTATTTACTAACTGAAACTAAGTGCATTCATTATTCTTAAATAATGAATACAAATTCCGCGAATAAATATTTTGTGATTCCTATAACTCAGGGAACTCTGGAAAAAGTACATAAATCCATAAGTTTGCGAATTTTGGAATTTATTTTAATTGCATGTGAAATTATGAAAGGAATTAGATGAGACTTCGTCTAAATCAGCGAATAAAAATAAGAAGATATTTCTTCTGGATGAAGATAATGAAGTGTTTGAATATATTCAGGCATGCAAGGAGAAAAAAAATGAGCCAAGCTTAATGCCTAAACGTTACAATCAATTGTTTAAGAGATAGCTTCAAAATAAATGCGCATTCTTCAAAAAAAGAAGTGGATGTTATTGAAATGATACTCCTTTCTAATAGTCAACACAAAAATCTCCAGATGATAACAACAAAGCAAAAAAAGAGTTATGTAAAAAACTAATCAGAGTGGATGCTATTGCAAAGACACTCTTTGCCGATAGTCATCCAGATTTATTCTCAAATACCCCATAAAAGATGATGACACCAAAAAAGAGAAGCGCAGGAACTTTATAGAATTTCTTCTTAGAGCAGGACTGGTGAT